TAGCTATAATATTCCTAGTACCACGATCTCTTCTAAACCTAGCCTGCACATCTGGCAGTTTTCTGTTGATGTCCTATTCCAGTCATTTTTGGAAAATTTTCAGGAGACTCTTGAGATTGTCAACAGCTTTGGTTTTCTTGGCTCCACAGTCAACTCTCTTGCTACCAGCAGCCAGAAAATCAGAAAATGAATTGCATTGAGAATGTCTACTGTCAAGGACATCTTCAGAGTACTGAAGAACAACGGTCTCAGTCTAGAGACCAAGGTGTACCTGATTCACATCATGGTTTTCACAATTACATGCTATGCATCAGGAAGCTGGATAATGGCAAGGGATGATAGAAGGTGAATTGATACCTTTGAGCTGTGGTGCTGGAGAAAACTATTGAATATATATATATATATATAAATAGAATGCTAGGAGAACAAATACGTTCTTCCTGGAGAGAGTGAAACCGGGCTTCTCCTTGGAGGCAAAGTTTCTGAAGCTCTGTCTGACATACTTTGGACATGTTGCAGGAAGGGACCAGCCCATGGAAATGGACATCATGCTTGAGAGGGTGGAGGGACAGCACAAGAGAAGACCCTTAATGAGGTGGATTGACTCAGTGTCTTGGGTAATGGGGTATGTCAGAGACAGTGAGATTGGCACAGGATAGAGCAGGGTTTAGGGTTGTTCTACATAGGGTCACTATGAGTCGCAAGCAACTTGACAGCACATAACAACATCATTAATACCTGGAGTGTAATCACTGTCTTCTTACTTCAATCCTATCATTCTGATTTCCCTTAAACACCTTCTAGTCTACCTCTTCCTGCCTGCCTTCAGGAATTTATCCATAAGCAAATGTTGTTATGTTGTTATTCGAAGATGGGGTACAAATTATCTTCAATATCTCCTGTCCTTTCAGAATAAAGAAAATCTTTTTCTCAAAACAGTTTACTTCTTTTTCAGGACTTCTTTTAATAATTCAGATTTAATAATACAGATTATTCACTGTGTGTTGAGTGTAGTAGATAGTGCCTTTAGTACTTTATGAGAATTATTTAATTTAAATCTCATGGTAACCCCTTGACAGGTACTGACAGGTTCTACTAAATTGCCTGTTTTACAGGTAAAGAAATGACCTCTCAAGGTCGAAGTCAGTAGGAGAACCAGGATCTAAACTTGAGTGGCCTAACTCCAATCCCTGTGATTTCCTGCCTTGTTTTTGAGTGCTGTCAAGTGGATTATGACTTATAGCAACCCTGTGAACAATAGAGCTGAGCTCTGTTCTGTCCAGTACCATCCTTATCATCCTCGATATATTTAAGTTCATCACACCGATTCTGAATCAGGCCTTCTCATTGAGGGTCGTCTTCTCTATTGCAGACCCTCCACCATTCCAAGCATGCTGTCCCTTTCCAAGGAATAGCCTCTCCTAACAACATGGCCAAAATATGAGAAACAAAGCTTCACAGTCTTTGCCTCCATGGAGTACTGGTTGCACTTTCTCTAAGATATAGGTACAGATACAGATAGAGAGATATAGAGAGAGACAGAGACACAGAGAGATGGAGAGAGACAGATATTTGGCAATCATGGGGTATTTAACACTCTTCTCCAATGCCACAAGTCAAATGCATTAATTCTTTTTCTTTCATACTTATTCATTGTCTAGCTCTCAGATGCATAGCAGGTAATTATAAAAACTGTAGCTTGTTCACCAAAGAAGACATTAAGATGGCCAAAAAGCACATGAAGAAATGTTTAAAATCCCTAGCTCTAAGAGAGATGCAAATCAGAACAACTATGAGATATCATCTCACCCCAGTCAGAATAGCAAAATTTAACAGAACAGCAAGCAACAAATGCTGGCGAGGTTGTGGAGAAACTGGAAACCGTATTTATTCACTGTTAGTGGGATTGTAAAATGGTGCAACCACTGTGGAAGGAAGTGGGGCACTTTCTCAAAAAGTTGCAAATAGAGATACCATTTGACCCAGCAATTCCACTACTGGGAATGTATCCCAAAGAGAGCATAACTGACATCCAAGCAAATATATGTACACCCATGTTTATCACGGCTCTGTTCACAATAGCAAGGAGTTGGAAACAACCCAGGTGCCCATCAACAAACTAATGGATAGAGAAGCTGTGGTATTGTCACACAATGGAATACTACGCTGCATTGAAAAACAAGAAACTAACGCAATATTCAAAATGGGTGAGCCTGGAGGACATTATGCTGAGTGAAATATTTCAGTCGCAAAAAGGACAAATATTGCATGGTGCCACTGTTGTAAAATGGGATTAATATCAGGGTTGGGGTAAGACTGAGAAAAACTGGATAAATTGTGTATACGGCACTGAAACAGGTGAGGGACTAAGTAATTTAAAAGCGATGTATGATAGGGTATTATGGTTATCACAAGAGTGCACAATTAAGGTTGCATAGTGGAATGTACTTGGGGCGGTGCGAGGGGTGCGGGAGGGATTGTGTACCAGGGAAGGAGTGTTTCTTTTACTTTTAAAAGAGAGGAG